ATATATATGTTGTTCTTGGTTCCTGTCTTTTTGCTTTGCACCCTCCAGTATCTGGTGATTTTAGTTATATTTTCTTGTGGGTAGATGAAGGTCTAAACTGAACAGAATCAATAATTGAAAGGGATTTTTCTTAACTCAACCTCTTGGTTTTTGAAAGGGACAATGGAGTTAAGCCCTAATTACTATAGCCCTAAAGGTAGCGATCTTATGTCTCCTGGCTCTGGTGCTTATTTTGTGAGGTGAGTGTTAGTTACCTCAGGCTCTTAGCCAGGAAAGTGAAGCTCTTTCCTTATTGAGGTCAGAAGTGGGAAAGAGGCTGTGACGTTATTTGCCTTTATTGGATCCAACATTAATGTGTAACAGGATTCTATCCTGTTGATTTACCTTGAAGAATGGAAAATAAAACAGAAAGAGCCATCAAAAGGCTAGACTGATCTATATGAGGAGAAAGAGTCTTGGGAGAAAAGACTTTAAAAGCAGGAAGGTGAGAGAAGAGAAGCAATAGTCAATGAGACGTGTTAAGAGCACGTTTTGAGGAGTTTGAGAGAAGATACCAAGATTTTGGAGCAGTTGCCTTGACATACAAGGGATAAAATGAATCCCCTCTGACATTTTTGAAGGAAAATTCAATACAGATTTTTTTTGTACCAGGGATTGAACTCAGGACCTTGCGCTTGCGAGGCAGACAGCAGCCTCAATACAGATTTAAATGGCTCGTTGACCTGGGGTTCTGGAAGCAGCTTGGTTTTGAAGCTGGCCTACGACAGCTTCCCTTTGGAGAATTAGCCTATGTCTCTCCTTCCACAACTATAGACTCTTTGTAGCAGGACCCAGTTCCGTAAGAAGAGACTTTGCTGCACTGGCGCCAGGGGCAGTCTAACCACTTGGCACCTCCCCAATATTGACTCCTCAGTGTTATTAAGAGAGAAGAAACAGTTTGATTAAAATCATGTAGAACATTCTTATATTCAAAATGAGGGATCTATTACATGAGATTTTTCTAAATCCAAACAAAATAAACATTTCACTTGGCTTAGACAAGAGACCAGTTGTTTCCTATAAATAGCGCTGTGCCATGCATTATAGGAGTGCAGAGTGTCAGACCCCTGCACCTCACAGCTCCATAGAACTGCCGGCTGTCCTGTCACACAGCAGTTGGTGTGGATAAATACATGCTCCAGAAAGACTCAAACTGTAGAGCAAGCTTCATGAGGAGCAAGGCCCGGGCCAGAAGGAGCAGCCAGCAACTATCTGTTGTAGAATTCATTGATTAGCTTTGGGAGGATTTCTTCAGTTAGGGAAGGAGCTACTCATAGGAAAGACACTCATTGACCCTGGATTTCCTCATTATTGCGTTTGTTTTTTTGTGCTCCTCACAGACTGGTTCCCTGAATAGCTGCTTACTCTGCACACCTTCAAACTGGGCTCTGCTTGTGAGAACTCTTGAGAGTTGCGCACTGGAGGGGATGTAACCCTTTTTGGGAGCTGTTGAATACCATAGCTATGTGAGCTACTGACTACACAGCAGTCATTGCAACTTGGGTCTCAGCAGGAAAAGCAGTAGAATTGATGAGAGGGAAGAATTGAGACACATAGTTGTTCTAAATCAAACTAAGTGGAATTTTCTCTACCAGACTTCTTTGTATTAAAATTTAAAGCCGGAAATGCACTTGATTCAATTAGAAATGCATCTTTGGTTTCTTAATTTCTTGCAGAAATTGCATGACATTTTGGAAAAAAACAAACAAGATGCTGTCAAAGAGCTAGGTGAGTTGGCGGAGTCCCCGGCTTCCTGAGAAGCCTTATGGTTCCATGAAGTAACTGAAGGAAGATAAGTCTGTGCGTTCATCCATCCATCCATCCACCGACTCATTCATTTATTTATTAAACCATACATACTTGGCCAAGAAAGGGAAAGAAAATATGGGTACATCTGGACACTGAAAGAAGTTGAGTCTGGTGAGGCACCCAAAAACATGAAAATAGGTCACGGTAGAAAATGAAGAGAGTTCCATTTTGCCGTGGGAGTACAGAAGAAAAGATAAGAGGAGTGTGGGTGTATTAATGCAGCAAAGCAAGAGTCCTGGAAGTGGTAAGAAAAAGACATGCGAAAGTTACCTTTGACAAAATGTCTTGTTTCTGTAAGGATACTCCAGAGGGTAGGGCTACAAGGATGCTGTTTTTGACATCTGTGTCACTGCACTTTACTTGAAGCACACAGGAAGAGCCTGAGAACTTTATGCTAAGCTTATTGGGTCTGCTTTCCTCTAAGGGGACTCTGCGCAGGCCCTCAGGGGGTGCAGAAAGATCTGGCATATGATAAGCTCTTAACAGTTGGACCTGAAGAAAGTAAGAACATTTTGTGCTCATAACCACACTGTAAGATGCCACATGGATTTATAGAGGCCACGTTTCCCACATCTAAATGGAAAGAACACTATCTAATGAGTGAAATTGTAAGTTTGGAGAAAATAGGTCAGAATATTTTGGCACCATTTCAGAAAACCCAGGACCCACTGTCACCATTCATGTATTGGCAGGTTTTTATTTCTGTGATTTTAAAGAAGATGAGCCTAGAAATTTCTGTATTATGTTTTAGATCAGTGTAGAACATTAGAATGTTTTCTTGATTTAGTCCCGTGAGACGGAGTGCCTCTTTCCACATGATTAATGCAACTGATTATGGAATGCTTATTAAGTCAAGGATTATAGAGTGCTTTATATGCATTACCTCATTTAATCTTATAATTAACTTGCCTGAGGCCATATGGCCAGTAAGCAGTGAGCCATGCCATCCAGCCCAGATATATCTGATGCTAAAATCTATGCTCTTTTCTAAAAATTAATTTTAGTGGTACATTGTAGGTATATAATATAATGACATTCATCATTGAAAATTTGGACCTTTACATAACATAACTAGGTTCTTATTTTTTCCCCATTCCTCTGCTCTCCCTTCAACCCTTCCACCAATCCCTATTTACAAAGACTTTGTTTCCAATTTTTCCTTAGCTCATATTAATTCCATTCCCTTCTTCCCAACCCCTCCCACTTCCCCTTTGGACCTTTTCTTCCCATTTCACATTATCTATTACACCTTTTGATCCTTATTTACACTTTCAGTTTCTCACACCAGAGAAACTATTTGGTATTTACAAGTGTGTTCTATTTATTTCACCGAAGATTATCACCTCAATGTGCATCTATGTAGCTATAAATGTCTATAATTTCTTATTCTTTTTTTTTTTTTTTTGTACTGGGGATTGAACTTGGGTCCTTGCATTTGTGAGGCAGGCAGCAGAACCACTGAGCTAAGTCCCTAGCCCTAATTTCTCATTCTTTAAGGCTAAGTAATACTCCATTTTATCAAAAAAAAAAAAAAACTCCACATTTTCATTATCCAGTCTCCAGTTGATGGGTTGGTTATTGGGCTGTTTCCAAGTTTTAGCTGTTACAAAATGTGCTGCTATGAACATAGGTGCAAAAATATCACTGTGGTATGACTCTTTTAATTCTTTTGGGAAGATACCCAGTAGGAGAATAGCTGGGTCAAATGGAACCTCTAGTCCTAGTTCTTTGAGGTATCTCCATACTGATTTACACAGTGGTTGCCCCAGTCTATACTCCCACCAACAGTGAAGCAGGGTTCCTTTTTCCCTACAGCCCCACCAGCATTTGTTATTGGTTGATTTCATGATAGCAGCCATTCTTTCTGGGGTGAGGTGAAATCTCAGCATCATTTTCATTTGCATCTCTGGAATGACCAGTGATGTTGAACATTTCTTCATATGGTTATTTGCTATTTCTACTTCTTTGTCTTAGAAATGTCTGTTCATTTAAATCTGGGAGGTCTTACTTAAATTTTATTTTTACATCTTCTAGATAGTCAACTTTTGTCTGAAGAGCAGCTGGTAAAAATTTTTTTTCCACATTGTGGGTTGTCTTTTCACACTGCTGGTGGCTTCTCTTGCTGTGCAGAAGCATTTTAATAAGAATAAATCACCGGGCATGGTGGTGCACTCTTGTAATCCCAGCACTCGGGAGGCTGAAACAGGAGGATCTCTGGGAGTTCGAGACCAGCCTGGGCTACATAGTGAGTGAGTTCCCAGTCAGTCTCAACTACATAGTGAGACCCTGTCTCAAAGAAAAAAAAAAGAATAGATCTAGATCCCACTTGTTGATTATTTGTGCTAGTTCACATGCAACTGAAATTTTGTTCATGGTCTTTTCCTACACCAATGTCTTCAAGAGTTCTACCTAACCTCTCTTCCAGCCGGTTTAGTGTTTCTGTTTTAATATTTAGATATTTAATCTATTTGAATTTTAGTTTGGTGCATGGTGAAAGATATGGGTCTAGTTTTAATCTTTGGCAAGTAGAAATCCAATTTTTCCAACACCATTTATTAAAGAGGCTATCCTTCCTCCAGTGAAGGTGTTTGGCTTCTTTGTCGAAGATGAGGTGGCTGAGTATGCCTGGAGCTGTTTCTTCATCTTCTAATCAGTTCCACTGATCCTTGGGTCTGTTTCTTTGCCAGTACTATGCTGTTTTATCATAGTGGCTTTGTAGTATATTTTCAGGTTGGGGATTGTGATACCCCTACCTTGTCTTTATTGCCTAGAATTGCTTTTGCTAGTCTAGGTCTCTTCTGATTCCAAATAAATATTTGGATTGTTCTCTCAAGGTCTGTAAAGTATGATTTTGGAATTTCAATTGGGATTGCAGTGAATCTATATAGCAGTTTTGGAAGTATAGCCATTTTTACTATGTTAGTTCTTTCTACCCAGGAGCAAGGGATATCTCTCCGTTTTCTAATATCGTCTTTGATCTCTTTTTTCAGCATGCTATAGTTTTCAGAGTAGAGGTCTTTTATTTCTTTTGTTAGATTGATTCCTAGGTATTTCATTTTTTGGATGCCATTGTGAAGGGAGTTGTTTCTGTAGTTCTTCTTTCAGTGAGTCTGTTTGTGTACAGGAAAGCTATTGTTTTTGTGTGTTGACCTTGTATCCAGCTATTCTACTGAATTTGGTTATTAAGTCTAGAAGACTTTTGGTGGAGTTCTTGGAATCTTCTATGTAGAGTATCATGTCATCTGCAAATAATGAAAATTTGACTTCTTCGTTTCCCATCTTTACTCCTTTTCATTTCTTTATCTTGTCTAATTGCTGTGGCTAATGTTTCCAAAACTCCATTGAACAGGAATGGTGATTGTGAACATCCTTGTCTTGATTGTCTGATTTTAGGGTAAAAGATTTCAGTTTTTGACCATTGAGTATGATATTGGCTGTTGGCTTTTCATAGCTGGCTTTTATCAGGTTGAGATAGAGACCATCTATTTTAATTTTTTGTAGCATTTTTATCATGAATGTGTGTTGGATTTTGTCAAATGCTTTTTCTGCATCTATTGAGATGATCATATGGTTTTTTGTTATTGGCCCTATTAATATAGTGTGCTGCATTTATTAATTTGTGTTTGTTGAACCATCCCTGGATCCATGGTTTGAATCCTACTTGGTCATTCTGTATGATCTTCTTGATGATCTCCTGCATTCTGTTTGCCAATAACTTATTGAGGATTTTTTGGCCTATAGTCATTAGTGAGATGGGCGTGTAGTTTTATTTTTCCACTGGGTCTTTCTCTGCTTTTGGTATAAAGGTGATACTTGCTTCCAGGAATGAATTTGGGAGTATTGCTTCCTTTTCAATTTCATTGAAGAGTTCAAACAGTAGTGGCAACAGTTCTTCTCTAAATGTCTTGTAGAATTCAGCAGTGAAGCCACCAGGATGTGGGCTTTTCTTCATTGATAAGTTTTTAATTACATTTTCAATTTTGTTGTTTAGAATTTTTAGGCCTTCTTCATTCAACTTTGTTTGATTATATGTACTTAGGAATCTGTCCATTTCTTCTGTGTTTTCCATCTTATTGGCATATAGGTTCTCAAAGTAGGTATTGATGATCCTCTGGATTTCTGCTGGGTCTATTGTAATTTCACCCTTTTCATTACTAATTGTGTGGATTTGGGTCTTTTCTTTCCTTTTTTTTTTGATAAGGTTGACCAAGGGTCTGCCAATTTTGTTTATTCTTTCAAAGAACCAACTCCTTGCTTCATTGATTTTTTTTTGTATCATTCTTTTAGTCTCCATTGCATTGATCTCTGCTATGATTTTAATAATTTTTCTCCCTTGTATGAGCTTTGAGTTTGTCTTGCACTTCTTTTTCTAGAAGTATGAGGTTCAGCATCAGGTTGTTTATTTGAGCTTGCTCTGTTTTCCTGATATGAGTATTCACTGATATGAATTTCCCTTGTAAGATTGCTTTCATGGTGTCCCATAGATTCTGATATGTTGTATTGACATTGTCATTTAATTGTAGAAACTGTCTGATTTCTTCTTTAATTTCCTATTCTTTAATTTCTTCTTTAATAACCAATGATCCATTGGTTATTTGGAAGTGTGTTGTTCAATTTCCATGTGTTTATGAAATTCTTGTGGTTTCTATTGCTACTGATATCCAGTTTCATTGCACTATGGTATGAAATATGCAAGGGATAACTTAATTCCTTTGTAGTTACTTAAACATGTCCTATTAGCTTATAAGTGGTCTATTTTGGAGAATGATCCATGTGCAGCTGAAAAGAATGTGTATTCTGATTTTGTGGGGTGGAATACTCTGTAAACACCTGTTAAGTCCATTTGTTCAAGAGTTTGATTGAGTTCTAGTATTTCATTGTTTATTTTTGTCTAGTTGATCTATCTATTTGTGACAGTGGGATATTGAGGTCCCCCACTACTATTGTATTAGTGCTTATTTGATTTTTCATGTCTGTTAGCATTTGTTTTATATAGTTGGATGCACTAGTGTTTGGTGCATATATATTTATGATTGTTATCTCTTTCTCTTGGATTTTTTCCCAAGGATGTAGTGTCCTTCTCTGTCTGTCTTAATTAGTGCTGGTTTGAAATCCACTTGATCTGAAAAGAAGATAGCTACTCCTGCTTCTTGGGGGAGGGTACCTGTTGCATGGAGTATTGTTTTCCACCCTTTGACTTTCAGTCTATGTGTTTTTTAAAACAATTCTTAGTCTTTTATTGTTACATTTTAGGTATACAATACATTTACATTCATCATTGGGAACTTGTACCTTTGCATGATGTATCTTGATTCTTACTTTTCCCCATTCTTCTACCCTCCCTTCAATCCCTCCACCCCTCCCTTTTTACAAAGATTTTGTTTCTATTTTTTTCTTTTGTCATATTTTTTCCTTCCCTCCTTTCCTTTCCCTGACTCCTCCCACTTCCCCTACCCCTTTGGACCTTTTCTTCCTACTTCACACTATCAGTTATTCATTTTAATCCTTATTTACACTTTCAGTTTCTCACACCAGAGAAACACTTTGGTATTTACACATGTGTCCTATTTATTTCACTTAAGAGTATGGCTTCAGTGTGCATCCATTTAAACTATAAATGTCTCTAGTTTCTCATTCTATGGGTTTCTTTTTGAATTAAGTGTGTTTCTCATATGAAACATATTGTTGGATCTTGCTTCTTGACCCATTCTGCCAGTCTTTTTTTTTTTTTTTTTTGATTGGTGAATTGAGACCATTAACATTGAGGGTTATAACTGATATTTATTGCCTTGTCCTTGTCATAGTTTTTTTTTGTTGCTGTTGTTGTTATTGGATTCTCCCCCTTTGTGTTTAATTTCTTGTCATGTCTGATGGATTCATTCTGCTTCCTGGGGTTGTGATCCTCATTGTCTTTTCCTAGGATATTGTTTAAAATTTTTTGGAGTCCTGGTTTGGTATTCATGAAGATCCTGAGGTGTTCTTTGTCATGAAAATAACATATTCTTCTATCAATTTTGAAAGGTAGTTTTGCAGGGTACATCAGTCTGGGTTGGAGGTTGTTTTCCTTTAGGGCTTGAAATACTTCACTCCAGGCTCTTGTCTTGAGGGTTTGTGTTGCGAAGTATGCTGTGATTCTCTTGGGCTTTCCTTTGTATATGATATTTTTTCTCTAACTGCTTGTAGAATTTTATTCTTCTACTGGGTTTCTGGAATCTTAATTATTATATGCCTATGTTTAGATTTTTTTGATCCCAGCTAGTTGGAGTCCTATATACTTCACTTATCTGTATGTCAAGTTCTTTCCCTCTGCTTGGAAAGTTTTCTGCTAATACTTCTATGAGCTGTTTTTTTTAAATGTTGTTTTTACTCTCTCCTGTTTCTTCATTGACTCTGATCAGTCTTATGTTATTATTCTTAGCATCATCTAGCAGTTGCTGGATTGATTTCTCATGGTCCCTTACTATTTTTAAGAATTTTTTTGTTTCCTGGTCACTAATTGTAATCCTGTCTTCTATATCTGATATTTTTTTTTTATTTTATTTTGAGACAGGGTCTCACTATGTAGTTGAGACTGACCTGGAACTCACTATGTAGCCCAGGCTGGTCTCAAACTCACAGTGATCCTCCTGCCTGAGCCTCCCAAGTGCTGGGATTACAGGCGTGCGCCATCATGCTCGGCTATATCTGATATTCTGTCCTCACATTGGCTCATTTACTGCATAAACTATCAGTGGAGTTTTTAATGTCCTGGATATCTCTTTGCATCTGTTTAATGGATTCCATTTGTTTCCTATGCTGGGGTTCTATCATGTTCCTCAGTTCCAAAAATCTGTGTCAGCTCTAGAGTTATCAATCATGACTTTCACTATGGACACAATCTCTGTTGTAATCTGAGAAATTATTTCTGATTTCATTATCTCCAGATCCTCTTTCATTGCCAGTTCAGGGAGTCCAGGTGGTAGAGTATCAGATTATGCCATCTCCTTTCCCTTTGGGGTTGACTTAGGTGATCTGGATACTGGTTTTGAGACTTGTTCATGTGTCTTTTCATTTTAGCAGGTGCAGTCGGCTGCACCTTTGTTGAGGCAACTTTTTGCTTGTATTGGTCTTCAATATTCAGCAGGCCACCAAGCAGCCTTTTCTTTACTACTCACCACTGCATCAGTTCCTGTGTTCAGAATTGTAGTCTTCTGGATCTCTGCTCTGCCCTGTCCTCCAGGCTGGGATCTGGGTAGGGCCTGTGCACACTTGGGATGGTATCTTGGTATGCTCCTGGCTGGTCCCTGTCTCCCTATATAGCTGTTTTCTGGGAGGGCCTTTGGCTGGGGGCTGTGACTTGAGTTGCTGGTTTCTGAGTGGGCTTCTGGCTGGGGTCTGCACACACTTAAATGGTATCTGGCAGGTCTCTGGCTGTTGCTTGCCCACCTGTGTAGCTCTTTTCCAGGCAGGCCTTTGGCTGGGGCCTGTGGGCTCAAGGTGCTGGTGTCTGGGCAGGGCCCTGGATGGGATCTGTGCACCTCCATGAAGCTCTGGTTCACATGGGCTTCTCACTGGGATCTGGGTGCATTTACACATGGAATCTGGGTGGGCCTCTGGCTGTTTCTTGTGTGGCTGTGCAGCTCTTTTCAGGGAGGGGCCCTGGCTGGGATCCAAATGCCCTTGTGCAGCTCTGGTTCATGTAGGCTTCTTGCTGGGAACTGCCTAAAACCTATGCTCTTGATCATTAGTGCTTTTAATTTTGCTGGCCAGCTCATATCAATTAAATAATGTGTGAGAATCTTCCATATGTCAGGAATTGTGCTCAATGTTAGGATTCCCAAGATGAGATACTTGAACCTTGATTCATTCTAGTCCATAATTTCTCATGTTTAGTAAGGCAGAAAGAATAGGTGACTTGATCTCAGAAAGATTCACCTGTCAAAGTTCAGGGGCTCTTTCATTCTTTCGCTTAGTTATTTATCCAACCAACAAAAATTATGTAATACAGAGGATGAGGCAGATAGTAATACTATAATGAGTTGCATCCTAGAAATATGTAGGAGATGCCATGGGAACATGGCAGAGACATCATTTTTCTCTTAGCTCATGGGAGAAGGTAGTCTTCAATTTTTTATCCATACAATGCAGATGAAAATAACTTTTATCCTACCAGCCTCATGAGTTCTGTGTGAAACTAGAATGAAAAGATATTGTATAAATGCTTTGGAAACTATAAACTATTACAGACATTGGTTATCATTGCTATTATTGCATAAATTGTTTACCGAGTTTAATTTTCCTTAGGACTTATCGAGCATGAGAATCGTGATGTTGTCATTGCTTTAAAGACTAAGCAGGCAGTCCGGAGAGTGTTTGCTAAAGCTCAGAAACGTCTCACCTTCCTTTGGTCAAGAGGCATTATGGATAGACATGAAGCCATCAGTATGAATAAGGTAATAAGACAATTTCCACACTGCTTGATTCCATCAGCCCAGCACCCCAGCCTGCACTGCTACTTTCACAAAAGTATGAAGGAAGTTGATCAGACAAGGTGTTTAGTTGCAGTTATAACCTCTGTGATAGTCTGCAGCCCTCATTAATGCCAATGACAACCAATATCAATGCTGTCTTGTAGACACTATTACTCAGAAATACTTGGCTGCAAGTTTAGTAAAGTTGGAACTTGGTTTAGTAAAGAAATAGGATTGGAACTTATTAAAAGAACACAGAGCATCTTACAGAACCCATGGTAGTCATGTGGTCAGGCTTTAGGAAGGAACTTGAACAAAGCTTTCCATTCCCTATGGAGAAAGATTCTCCATTTCCTATCAGACTTGTTCTCAGTGGTGTCTTCCTAGCATGTATCAGAAAGATGGAAGCTCTAGTCCCACATTCTGTCTGTGTGGCCCAGTGACACAGTGTTCCTGGATGCTACCTGCTCTTCCTTGTCGTTGTAGCACTGAGTCTTGGCCCACAATATGCTGTGCCTCTGTTCATTTCTTTTTTTCCCATTAAGTTTATTGGCACAATTTAGGTGTACAATACAGTTACATTCATCATTGGGATCTTGTACCTTTCCATGATGTAGCTTGGTTCTTGTTTTTCCCCATTCTCCTGCCCTCCCTTCACCCCCTCTACCCTTCTCAATTTACAAGGACTTTGTTTCCATGTTTTTTCTTTTCTCCTATTTTTTCTTTTTCCTTCTTACCTTTCCCCTACCCCTCCCACTTCCCCTACTCCTTTAGACCTTTTGTTCTTATTACACAATATCAATTATACATTTTGATCCTTATTTACACATGTAGTTTTTCAAAACAGAGAAACTATTTGGTATTTACACGTGTGCCCACTTATTTCACTTGAATATGGCCTCAATGTGCATCCACTTAGCTATAAATGTCTCCAGTTTCTCATTCTTTTTTTTTGGTACCGGGAATTGAACTCGGGTCCTTGTGCTTGCGAGGCAGGCCACCGAGCCACTGAGCTAAATCCCCGGCATTGTTTCTCATTCTTTATGGCTGAGTAGTACTCCATTTGATCCTCTTCTTGCACTTCATCCCTGCTCTCTGGCCTCAGAAGAGAAGTGCGCGTAGGACAGAACAGCTTTTTCCTCTAGTGCTCTATCTCATCACTAAATGGACAATATGAGCTTGACTCAATGTCTGTCTGAGGGAAGAAAAGGGTTACTTTATAGTGTTTCTCAAATTATAGCTCTAATACATTGTTTTGTATTCTATTTCTTTTTCATTTATCATGTTGAAGTCTGCCTAGGATAATTGAATGTTTGATGACCATTTAGTAAGATAAATAAATAATAGTGCACATAAGTAGACAGACTTATTTTCTCCTGTATGTTTAGAAAAGTAATAGGTAAATCAATCATCTGCTACTTATTCAGTGACCAGTCACTGCCTAATTGTGAGCAAAAAAGGTATACTTATCTATCCCAGGCTGTAAAGAGACAGGCAAGTTTATTCAATTCAACTGACATAATGTACATTGGAAACACACTAAGTGCGTTGGACTTTTCAGATTGGAACGCTTAATGACTGCAACACAGACTCCAAGTCCTTATGCTCTTCCTTGTTTTCGGTCAGACATTTATCCATCCAACAATAATAGCCAGGTAACATGAAGTGTGATCCAGATAAGTAAAAAATACTGTAGCGAGTTCCACATTAGAGACACATAGGCGAAGCTGTGGGAATAAGGGAAATAAAAAGATTTTCTCTGATCTCATAAGAGAAGCCAGAGAAGGCTTCTCAGAGGCCTTTGGCTGGGACTGTATCCTCCCAAATTAGAAGGATTTAGAGAAGCAAATCCTATGCACACAAGAAAATTTATGAGAACATGGAAATAGGTTGTATGATAATCAGTATAAAATTGAAAAAATAATGAGGCAAGGTAAGATACAATGTTAACTGGATTATAAAATTACAGATTTGATCTAAGTAAATAAATCAGTGACTATAGAAAATAGAAGAGAATAGAGGCAAAAAGGGGATAATTTGCACATTGTTCAAGAAGCTATGAGTCAAACTCGAGGTTAAATTTGCAAAATAGTCTTTTATTTAGATTTCCTTAGTTTTTGCCTACTGTCCATTTTCTGTTGTAGGCCTTGATCACCATCATCCTGTTTGCTTTCAGGTATTTCTTAAGAAAATAAAATCCTTGAATAGTTTTCCAATGGTAGCTCCACCTCCTACTCCTGGCCAATACCTCTCTAACATTATTTGGTTGGAAAATAAAGATGTTCTCATTGACTTTTTCAAGGTAAGATTTCTATTTTCGATTCTGGCTCAAATATGATATACGTTCTCTTCCCTATTTTTTTCCACTACCTAATGCAAGACTAACAGAAAAATACATTCAAAGCACAAATCCTGTACTGACCAATTCAGGGAAAATTAGACTGGAGGGCCAGCAAAACCCAAAAGAAGAGTAGATTTCTTTCTGAAACAAAGGGGAGATAGTTTTTCACCATAGCTTACCTGCTTAAAAAGAGCTATCTATAGTTCCTGATTATCACCAAACCTATTCTATTTTATGTTGTAGGGTACTGGACTTCCAGATACATGCTCTGAAAGAAACATTTTTTTTAAGGAGGGTCTCAAATTTAAATTACTAAACAGGGCGGGCAGATACTATAAAAGTAAAACCAACTAGGGAACAGTAAGGACTGCGGTGAATTTAAGAGTTTATGCTCTGTATAAAATTAGCTCAATTTTGCTTTAGGAATCTGGCTCTTTTCAACAACTACCTTTCAAATATCACCTATGTATTGGAGACTGTTGTAGGTTTTAGGCTATGTCAGTAAATAGATGAAGTCCCTCCTGTCATACACTTTATACTACAGGGATGGAGATGGACAAAATACAAGCCAACACATAAATGTATAGTGTGTCAGGGGGTGAGAAGTGCTATGGAAAAACATAAGATGAGAAAAGCAGATATGATGACACAGGCATTTTACATAATGTTTTAGAAAGGGGTTCTCATGAGGTGACATTCAAAGATGTTTGAAAGAAACAAGGAAGCAAGGGATGAAGATGTCTTGGAGAAGTGCATTCTGGGCAAAGGGAAGAACCAGCGCACAGTCCCTGAGGCACAGGTGCTTGGTGTGTTTAAGGAGCACCACAAAGGTCCCTATGACAGCAGCAGTGATGGCTGGAGATTGAGTCAGCAGTTGCGTGAAGCTTGAATGTGTAAAATATTGTAGGCCACTGTATGGACTTTGATGTTTACTCTGAGCTGAATGGAAAGAGACTGGAAGGTTTTAAGCAGAGAAACGACATGATGTTAGATTTCAGAATGACACTCTGATGCCACGTTGAGGATAAGCTGTAAGAGGTCAAAGGGAAGACAGGGAGACAAGTTAGGAGACAATTATAATAAGGGATGGAAGAGGCAACGGTGAGTTGGACTAGTGAAAGTGGCAGACCTGATATAATTTGAAGATACTGGGAGAAAGAGAGAGAAGTGAAAGGAGAGAGAGAAAATAAGGAGGAAGAGTAAGAGTACAAGGAAGAAGAGGAGGAGGAGGAATAAAGGGGGAAGAGAGAGAGAAACTTCTAGAACATCAATCTGAAAATAAAACAGTTTCAATTTACTGAGGTGGGAAAGAGAAGATTTATGTGACGGGGGCTGAAAGTTTGATTCCAAAAGAGTTAAGTTTCAGAAAGTTTTTAGACGTCAAAGTGTAGTTTTGAGTTAGACACCCAAGTTTAGTTAGAGGACTTGAATTCAGGTGGGAGGCTAAGATTAGAGAAAGATATTTTGGAGTTTTTGGTATAGAGGTAGTATTTAAGCTCACGACAGTTGATGAGATAACTTAAGGAGTAAATGTGGATAGGGGAGAGAGCCAAGGAATGCATCCCGGGATGCCCAGCATTCAGAGGGGGGCAGTTGAGGAGGAATCCGAAGAAAGAACTGAGGAACAACTTGTGAGGTAGGTGAGCCGTGTCTCCTTTTAAGAAAGAGAAAGTAATCAGCTATGTGAAATGAGGTTAGGAGCTCAAATAAAGTGAACACTGAAAATAACAATTAGATGTAATAATGTTGAGGTTGGATTTGTTTTCTTTTCCCAAGAAAACCATGATACAAAAATTTTGGTGAAATTTCCAAATTAAAATGTGTGGCAACCAGTTAAAAATTTAAAATATCGTGCAGGCCAAAAAGTATACACTTGGGGGCATGACCCATGGACCACAATTTTGTGGCTTTAGTTTTGAATGACTGCTATGTTATAGCTTTCTCATCAACTGGTTAAGATTTTTGGAATCAGAAAAACTCTGTGACAATGCATGGCATTTGGTTTATTACAAATTTGATTGTGTAATGCTTCGTAATACGGACACTAGAGATATAAGGTGTTTGTTTTCCCACAACAGAGATGTTTTCTGTGCTTTCTAGAAAGAAATCATAGCAAGGCTCTATAATTTTGAATATCTGATTTCCTTCATATCTTTTTCTTTGTGCCAGAAAATTTAAATATTCTTTTGCATTAGATTTCAAATTTAGTTAAACTAAGACTCTTGGCTGAAAGTAACAGAGACTTACTTGAACTAGTTTAAGCAAAGGGAAGTTTACTGAAAAGGTGCTGTGGTGGTGTATATATTAGCAAAAAAAGAGTTTACAAAGTACCAGAGACTGAATGGCTTCAAAACATCAGAGCCATCAGAAATTTATTTCTTACAGCTCTGGAGGCTGGAAAGTTCGAGATGAAGGAACAGGCAAATTTGATGCCTGGTGAAGGCCTGCATCCAGGTTCATAAATGATCATCTAATTGTGTCCTCACATGGTAGAAGGGACAAGGGAGCTCCCTGAGTCTCTTTTATAAGGGCACTAATTTCGCACACGAGGGCTCCGTCCTCATGACCTAATTATTTCTCAAAGTCCGGCTCTTAATACCATCACATAGGGGGTGCTTAAGAGTTCAAAATACGAATTCTAGACAAACACAAAGATTCAGTTTATAACACTAACTGACTTTCAGCAGAGTGGAGCCAGGCCAGCTCTAGGACAGCAGTGATAGGAATTTGTGGATTCATCCTCTACTGCACAACATCCAGACTCTTGAGTCTCTTCGTTAATTAAAATTCTTGGGAAAGAAATCCAACTGGCTTAGCTTAAATCAGCTGTCCAGCCTTCAGGTGTACAAGTGTGGCTGTGGAGAGGAGGGGAAACCCTCACGGGCAGGGGCTGCTGGAGGTAGTTTGGAAAATAGATCCCAAATAAATCAGAGTGGAGTGGGCTTAGATGGGGAAGAAGGTATCTGAAAGGTGTTTATTTTTTCTTTTAAAAAAATTGTATCATTGTCGAACAATTTAGAACTACACAAAGTGAAAAGTCAGAGCTATTCCCCTTCTACCTTGCTCCTTGGCCTTGAGATAACCACTATGGATGATTTGGCGTCTTTGAAAAATGCCATTCTGTCACCCTAATTCTGTTAAAATCTCTTCAGTGGCTCCTCTCCTGTTTTAAGAAAAGGTGAAGTCTTTTTTTTTTTTTTTTTTTTTTTCTGGTACCGGGGATCGAACTTGGGACCTTGTTCTTGCAAAGCAGGCAGTGGCACCACTGAGCTAAACCCCCAGCCCAAGAAAAGACGAACTCTTTATCAAGTCCTTGAAGGCCTGGCCCTGGCCCACATCTCCAGCCTGGTCTCTACCAGGGCTGCACTGTGACCCTTAGTGGGCCTCTTCCTCCATCAAAATATATTTAAAATTTGTACTTTATCCATATTAGTATAAAAATGAATATGTTAAAATATTTTTCTTAACCTAAAAGTTTTGTTCCTTTTCCTCTTCTGATTTTAAAAGACATTAGAGCACCGTGTGAGCCTCTAAAGTAGAGTGGATCCTAGACCTCGATGCCTATGGGTCCTATGACCTGCTTGAGGCGTACTGAATTTTTTTCAGTTTCCTTAGCTGCAGACATTATGTTTGCTTCTGGGTCTTTGCACATCGTGAATCTTCAACTCATGTTATTCTGCTATTTGGCAGTCTTCTTTCTGATCTCGGTTTAGTTATTCCTTTCCCTGTGAAGATCTCATTGAACCACCATGAGGTTCTGTGCTTTCTGCACTGTCCTGTTTGTCGTAATTATCACACTTTATTACAAATATCTACACAACTTAGTAAAAGATCTGGAGGCAGGGAGTTTGTTTAGCTTGCCGTTATACTCCAAGTTCCAAATGACGGCTAGAAATGTTTTTATTCATTGATGTTATCATTGGTTCTATAAATATGGATCGAGTGTTGATGTCATTTACTGTACTAGGTACTAATCACAACATTGACAGTTTGCTTATCTCTTTATTTCTAAACATTGTTGCGGTGCATCTGCATGTTGTAATTTATTGACAAATCAAGAATATAGATTGTATTTGATGTTACCAGTTTATATAACCAGTTTTAACTTTAAAATCTTATTTCTATTGAGAAAAGTACAGCACTAAACTTCTGTGTTGACTCTTCCCCCCCTTCCCTCTCCGCCCTTCCTTTTTCCTTCCCTTCCCTTCCTTCTCTTCCCCTCTCCTCCACCCAGGAAAGAGCCAAACTTGCCTATTTTGATTATGGAGATGTTATCTGTAAAGAAGGTGAAATGCCACTAGGAATCTACCTAATTATTTCAGGAATGGCAAGTGTAAGAAACTATTGATTCTTTACTTAAAATGCATTCTGAAGTAAGTCAGTCACGGCAGTGCACGCCTGCAATCCCAGAACTTGGGAGGCCGAGGCAGGAGGATGGCCATGAGTTTGAGGCCAGCTTAGGCTACATAGTAAGTTCAAGGCCAGTCTGGATTGAAAAAAGAGAAGCAGTGTTCATATATAATTGTCAAATCAGGAGTAATTTATGAGCCAAATGAAGCTGTTCTTGTCGAGAGTGAGCATAAGACTCTTAACACTGGAATGTGCTTGCTGTTTTACAAAATTTTGTAGTTATTACTTATTCTTCACAAAAATCCTGGGAGGAAGCACTATTTTTTAGGAGGTTAAGACAAGGAAATAATGCTTAGAGTGGTTTAAATTACTTCCCTAAGGGACATGAGAGTTCAGGAATGAGGGAGGGGGTGAGCTGCAATCAGATCCTTAGGAGGTCAAGTCAGACAAAGAGCAAAAATACGACTTTTAATCAGACCAGTGGGAGACATTTATGTGGCGGGGTGGGGGGGGGAGAAGGGGGCAGAGAGAATGGGAGAAGAATCTAGACCGTGGGGACATTAGGGGGGGGGGGGGGGGGGGGGAGAAGGGGGCAGAGAGAATGGGAGAAGAATCTTCTATACCCTCTTGCTAATACACTAGTAGCTGAATAGAGAGATGAGCCCAATCTTAGATGATAGACTTATGTGACAAATCTTATGATAGAGAAAATAATACGTTTGAGTTTCTGATTTTAGAATGATCTTTTCAGACCCTAAAAGTATCATGGAAATAAACACTTATGCTAGAAATCCTGCCAACACAGTGTCTAATTAAGTGTCTAATTAAGTGTCTGGCACTATTCTGGTCAGTTTCGTTCATCCATTCATTTATCCAACATATACTTCATCACTACCACAGACCAGATACTGCTTAGTCTAGGCTCAGAGTTCATAAAATCAGCAAAAGTTTCTGACATTTTGAAGCTTCTTCTCTGGTAAAGGGATAAAAAGAGATGGAATGATGAACAAAATAATTGTTCCAGTTCAGCATTCAAAAAATGCTTGGAGCCAGAGTGTTTTAGATTGTAGATTTTTTTTTTTTTCAGATTTTGAGACAGATAGATGTTCTGGGGCTGAGACCCAAGTTTAAAATGAAATTTGCTTTTATGTACACCTTACACATGGTAACTGATGGTAACTTCATACGATATTTTTGGTACGCCTGTGTTTTGACTGAGGCCAGTTGTAAGAGGTCAGGTGTAGAATTTTTTCCTCCTGTAGTGTCGTGTTGGCACTCGTTTTGGAGTATTTTGTATTTCAGGCTTTTTATCTTATCCATACCTCTTTGGGCAGGCAGCACTCACACCCTTAATCCTAGTGCCTTTGAGCCTAGCATTGCACCGTGAGTCAGTCCCCACATCACACACTCTGGATCCAGCCACCTCTGACAAAGCCCCACCTGTGACCACAGGAGGCTTTGGGGGGGGACATCTAGACACGAGCCACAACAAGGTGGTCGAAACGTGAAGCGATTAGCTGTAATTTCAAAAAGAGTGTTAAGTAAGTAAATGTGGTATACCATTTGATCTTCATACAAATCCCATTTTTATATTAAAAAAATAAAACCTTTACCTTGAGGAGTTGGAACATTAAAGGAACCATAGCTTTGTGAAGGCTAGTTTTTTCTTCACACCTGATGGAATTCACAAAGAATCTTGGAATAACTGTAAGAAATAGTGAGAGCTCCTATTGCTCGTTCACCGAATATTGAATGTTTTCTTTCCCTTTACACAACCACCCCCACCCTCCTGCTTTGCAGCTGCATAGCTCCTCTCCTACCTTTGGCATAGACTGTACCCAGCAGCCTGACGTAGGGGAAGAAACCCTGTTTACAGAGTACTGCACCAGTGGGGAGGTCCTCGGAGAGCTGAGCTGTCTGCTCAGGGAGGAAGTTAAATACACTGCCATCTGCGAAACCACGCTACAGGTAAGGCAACAGTTCTCACTGGCATTATCAGTTAATCCTTCCTTAAGCAATAAGGACCCCAGTATCTTTTCTTTCGTTGGGTTCTGGAAGTTTATTTAGTCAACCAACCAGGGAGGCAGCGCAGAGTAACTGAGAAGGCAGCTTTCACATTTCATGTGCAGGATTATGCTGAGCTCTACAACCTCTGGGCTGTAGGAATACTATGAATTATCTATCCTTCTTGAGTATCTATTTTCTGATTTATTAAGTAGAGAGAATAGCTACTTTGTGATGTTTTAACAATTAGAAAAGTATCTGTGTAAATGGCCTGGCACATACAGATGCTCAAGAATGGGCCACCATCCCTGAAAGCAGTGTTTTAAAAGAATATTAACTTGTCTGTAAGTTTTCTGCCTTTCATTTTTTACTTGTCAAGTAAGAAGTTATCTGCTCAATAAATAAGTGGTCTGGCATTCTGCTAGATGGGGAGAATTCAAATAGAAATGAACCGAAGTTCCCAAGACTTTGAAGAAGTTCTCAGCGTTTACAGGGGATGGTGGTGTTTACAGGGGATGGTGGTGTTAGAGACAACAGCAGAACAGGACTCAGAGGTTTTGGGGTATGGGGTGCAGGAGGGATTGTTGTTTTATCAGTTTTACACCATTTGCTTTCTGGGAGAGGACTAAAGGAATGAATTTAGTCACAGGCTGAATGGATTCATTAAGGATCATTTAACTTGAATTCTGAAAATGGTCTTTTTTAGTTAGGTAACCTGTTTGCATCTAGAAACAAATAGCTACTATTGTGGATTCACCTACTGTGACAATAAAAATAGATAAGTTTGTAGAGCTTGGTTCCCGAGTTTGGGGCTCATGAGCCCCGTTTTTCAGTCTATCTATTGGTCGATGTAAATGTTTCTGGCCTTGTATGTTGCAGTTTAAGTGGACCATAAATTTTATCATCTGTACATAACAAAAAACTTTTCCATAATACAATTGCTTTTCAATGGCAGAACATCATAGTCATGCTATAGCTGATCATTAGATTTTCTGAAGTGAAGGTTAAATATGCAGGCATCTTGTTTTATGATGGTCTTATGATTTAGTTCTAAATGCAGCTGGCTGTGTGGCCTGGTATCTTTTTATTTCAGGCCTTCTTCATCTCATTGGAGGACTTATACGAAGGCTTTGACGTCTTCTGGCCTTCCCTGGAATATAAAATATGGCTCAATCTTGCTCTTCAGGTTGCTTATCAATATTTTGAACCAAATATTGCTGATGAGGTAAGTTACATGATTAAAATGCAAATGAACTTCTAGTTACTGTATTTTTAATAAAATCTATTCATTATTTTCCAGATAAAGATAGAAAGGAAGGTTGTGTCTGATTTTTCTCAAATTAGATCACAAGGATTTTATCCCCTCTTTTATGCTGACTTCCTACACGTCATTAATCTTTCATCACAGTTGATTTTCCCAGGCTACCTACCCTCATCCCTTAAGAAAAAAAAGACAGATTTAAAAGTTGTTAAATAGGAAGATAACTCCAAGCCAAGTATACTATTAACCAGAACAAGTTGATTACTCAGTCTGGTGTACTTTATGGTCTACTATACCTACCTTAACATAAATCTTTTGCCTTTTCAAAATATTTGTTGAGATAACTCAGCCCCTGCCATGAACCTTCCCTCCAGAGAGTAGTGGTTCAAGTCTGTTCCTGGACCAGCACAATTTATAATTCTGTATTTGTACCCTATCTAATAATTATTCTCAATTCAACTATGAGTTGGAATCTGGGGATGTGACAGACCTGACGTTCAACAATAGTCACTGATCTGACCAACTGGATGTAAATGTTCTGTTAAAAAGTTAGCACATCATACATGCCCATCAGCTTTATTTTTTCTGTGACAAAAACGTCCAGAAAAATTTTATTGGAAGGGTAAGGAGATTGAGACTGTTTCCTTTTTCCTTGGAGAGGAAAATCAGGACCATTGGAGACAGATTTGATTGAACGATAAGCTGAATGCCATATATTTCAAACAGCACAAATTCATCGTATAAATGAGAAAATACAGATTTAAAACATTTAAAATTAATGACCTTATGCCCCCAATCTCATTCCTCAGAGTCACTACTGAGTGCTTGGGTTTATTTCCTTTTAGTATTTTTATGAAGGAACTAGCCAGTTAAGACTTTAGAGCACTCTGGCACTGATAACATTATACTCTTTCGACCCCAAGTTACAGACCTCAAAATATATATGCAGTTTCAAAAACAAACAGCTTTTTTTTTTTTTATTTTCCTGAATGCAAAATCCTAGATAAAAAGTTTGCTAATTTTCCCTTTTCTTTTTTTTTTGTACCGGGGATCAAACTTGGCTCCTTGTACTGGCAGGTGGCGGAACCACTGAACCAAATCCCCAGGCCAGTTTGCTAATTTTCTTGTGTTCTTAGTGGTCCCATTGTGCTGGTGGTCTCAGCAAGTGGGAGTTTGATTTGCTGGTCAGTGACTGATACCCAAGGGCTGGAGATACTCAGATGAGGCTGCCAGCCCCTGTCCGGTCACTGTCCAGACCATTCCTACTGTAGCACTGATTGCTAACTAAGCTCTAGTGTTAACTTGCTAGTGCAGCTGTAATGAAGTTCCACATACTGGTCTAGAAGTTCCACATACCGTCTAGAAATACCACATATTGGTCTAGAAATAGGAAATCAAGATTAGAGAGCTGTGAGGGAGAATCTGGTCCAGGGCTCCTCCCTTGGCTTGTAGAGGGCTGCCTTCAAGTTTTCTCCCTAAATGCAAAATTGACCATATTTCTGGATAAGGTAACATTTGGAGGCACTGAGGGTCAGGATTTCAACATGAGAACTTTGGTGGTAGGGAAGACTCAATGCATAATAACTCCCTTCCAACTCTAAAGTCTGTGATTCAAATAAACAATAAATCGATAAATAAAATCTGTGATTTGGAGCCTCAAAATATCATTTAGACTCCATCTTGCTTTAATTTTGGCCTTTTGTTATTGTTTGCTTAACTGTTAACTAGCTTGTTTGCTTACTGCTATGGAAAAACCTATGAATTCTTTAAGCCTCATTTGGTTTAAATAAGAACTCAACAACATGCACATCCATGTTTATAATTTTAAGCGCACACCCATGTTTATAATAGCTAAAACTTGGAAGCAGCCCAATTGCCCATCAACTGGAGACTGGATAAAGATGTGTTTTTTAAAAAATAAAATGGAGTACTACTCAGCCATAAAGAATGAGAAACTAGAGACATTTATAGCTAAGTGGATGCACACTGAGGCCATACTCTTAAGTGACATTAATAAGACGTGTGTAGATACCGAATAGTTTCTCTGGTGTGAAGAACTAAAAGTGGAAATAAGGATCAAAATTTATAATTGATCTTATGAAATAGGAAGAAAATGTCTAAAGGAGTAGGAGAAGTGGGAGGGGTAAGGGAAAGGAAAGGAGGGAAAAGAAAAATGTGAGAAACGGAAAAACATGGAAACAAAGTCTTTGTAAATACGGGAGGGTGGAGGGGGTGAAGGGAGGGCAGGGACAGGGGGAAAAATAAGAACCGAGATCCATCATGTAAAGGTACAAGATCCCAATGATGAATGAAACTGTACTGTATGCCTAAAAAGAACCCACAAACTTAACGGAAAAAGGCAAAATAACTCAGCAAGGCAGAGCTGATCACCCTGCTGCCCCTGGCGGGACAGTTTACAAATCAGTGCCTGGCAACCACATCCGTGTCATAAAACTGCTGAATTTGGAAATTTGTCAGAGGCCGTTCCAGCTTCTGAATAAATTATGTCTGTTGGAACCAGGGTCAGTGTGCCTTCTTGACACTCTCAAAGAATTGGGATGGATAACTCATTTGTTTCTCTTCTCTATACCGTCTTTCAGCTTGTATGATCTACAGAGAAACGTAATTTTGTTGTAGGACTTAGATTTTCAGAAGTGTGTGATGAGCAAACACGCCTATGTGGAGAATTTACTAATCTACAACGAGATGACGCTGAGACCCGAGACCATGAAGTTTGTTATTATTGTGTACGGCAACGTGATTAACAGCGCCACGGAGGAGCCGTACATTGCTCCTTGCATAATCCCTAAAACCTGTGAGCAGGTGAGAAGCATCATCTCTGCAGGGTCGTTTTCTTTTGCTTTGTCCCATAAATGACTTTAAAAGCCCAATAACAACAGCTAAGAGTGTGTTACAAAATAGCTCGTAGGGAGAATCTTGAATGTTCCTAGTATGAAGAAATAATCAATATTTGAGTGGATGGATATGCCGCTTACCTTAGGGTGGTCAGTCACACACTGTCATTCCTGTACTGAGAAGTCCCGTTGTACCTCACGGAAAGGTACAATTGTCACGTGTCTGTTAAAAATGAAAAGATATAGGGCCGGGGATTTAGCTCAGTGGTTCCGCCACCTGCCTCACAAGCGCAAGGTCCCGAGTTTGATCCCTGGTACAAAAATAAATAAATAAAAGATACATAAAATTATAAGGACCTTAAGAAAAAATAAGTCCAATAAATAAAACAAGAGCAAACAAAAAGAACTTCATTCAACCACCTCCAAAAAAAGTAACCTGAAAGACCTTGCAGTGTTTACCTGCCCTTAACAAACCAGAAACGTACCAGGGCTCTGTGGTGGTACAGGTGCCCCTCACAAGGGTGTGATGGTGAAGGCAGGGAATCTGTCTGCTCAGGGCTTGCCAAAGTGCTTGCCATGGCAGGAGGCTGAATCTTCGCAGAGAAAGGAGGGGAATGGTGCATTTTTTCAAAATCATTCCAAACAATGGTGCCGTGTGCTACTGTAGCTCTGGAAATTTCTGCAGTGGCTGATAAGCTTGTTGAGCAATGGCTGCATCACCTTTGGTCACGCTAAGGGCGACAGGTGCATCTTAAGAGTGGCATGCGCATCCCACACCTCTGCACTTAAAGGTGGAGGAAAAGGTATGCTCTTAGGGCAGTGATGGCAAACCTTGCAGAGCTTTCAGTGATACCGTCTGCTGCAGCATGTGTGCCATAGGTTCACCACCGCTGACCTAGGGCATAACGGGGTGTGGGGAAAGTAGAAGAAGCAAGGTCCCTAATGGGCCAAGCCACCTGCTTTGGGTCTGCCGAGCAATGTAAGGGTTAGAGTTAGGGGCCGGTGATGGCGAGGACCAAAAGGCTGTGAGAGAGTTGATGGCTTTTAGTAAGTTTCTTCTTGGGAGAGGCTGTTTTTTCCTGTTTGAACTGTGTAAATGAAACTCTGTGTCCTAGAAAAGTTGGTAAGTCATTTTTTTCCCCTTTCATAACATTCTTTCTTTGCACCTTTCAATAATTTAGAGGCTTTGAAACCATGGATGGGGATGAGGGCTGAGGGGACAAAAGGAGCAATACTCACCATCTAATTTGTTAGAGACCAAGATATCAGGGTCAGGTAAAGTTGGGATTAAATCTTGACCCGCGCTTACCCATTCTGACCTTCAGTTTTCTCCTTAAGAAGATGGGGATAATGGCAGAGGCCAGTTTAGTAGGTTAGTTATGAGGATTAAACGATATTCAGAAATAACAGCTGTAATTACTGCTTGCCCATTACTTGCATTCTGGGACCCAGACTTTGTGGCTTATGGAACAAAAGCTGTAAGAAAGGAAGACAATTCCTGCTATCCTGGGAGGACTGGGCCTTGAACTCTTGACCTTCGTGTAGGAATAAAAGTAACTCCTTGTTTTCTACGGATTCTTTTCTTTACAAGCTGGGAATTTCCAGCATAGTTCAAGTAAGGTGTAATAATTCAATTCTGTTGTCTATAAATACTCTAGGAAACACATAACTTGCTGGTCCAAGAAAAAGACAGGATTTAGGTTGGAGACCAAGTTCTAGGTTTTGGCTTCTTAATATTCTTTGGATCTGGACCTTGCACTTGCAAGTTCTTTGGAAAGAGTGGGAAACAGCCAGCTTAGGGATCAAATAGTGCTCCTTTTAACTAATTTTGGCCTTTTTCCTTTAGATTCAGGGAACTGCAGATGTAAGCAAGCTGCTGATAATTCAATCATCTGAGGCCAACACAGATGATCGCAACAATCCCTTAGGTAAGGGACAGCCTTTTAGTGGTAGGAAAGCGATTGAGAAGGGGCTTCAGTGCATGTAAAATTCGCTTAATTCTGACAAAGTGATTTGAGAGAGTACTGTGTGGGTTAGTCATTAGTCCCCTTCGTTGGGCCCAAACTGGTTGCCAGATTGCTTCTGAGAGGTCATCAGAGTCTTCCAGACACTCAAATTCACATGGCTTCTTCCCTTTTACGGCCCTCCTCCAAACCCTTTCCGGAGGAAAGCAGCTTCTATACTGGACTCTCTCCCTGCCCTGGAGACACACAGTGCTGTGGGGCCAGTGCAGGAATGGGGAGAAGACAGGCAATCCCACAGTGGGCCCAGGCATGGGGAACTGGTTTGCTTCCAGAAGGGAGTGTGGAGTCTGATCCGCCTTCATTGAGTATTCCAAACTAAGTCACAGCTGCCAGTCAAATGACTTGCTTTAGCTAACTGCAGCCCCTCATTGTTTAGTTAGCAGCCACGTTTGTGTGTTTTGGTGAGAAGCGTTTCATTCAGTGCTCAGTACCTGCCCTCTCCCAGCTACCTTAGCTTGAATAAACAGAACGGGCATTCATTTGTAATTCGAATCTGCATCATCTCAGTGTTTACAATTCACGAGACCTGGTAGTTTAGATATTATGCAATTCTCGATGAATTGTTAATTTGGGGGGAGGGTTTGCCAGATTTCTAATTACATATGTAAAAGTGAGATTTTGTTACAATTTTATATCTCACCATCTCAGTTAAATAACCCTTAAACGATGCAACTCCACCTGTGTGCTGCCCAACAAGGCTTCCGCTCTTGCGAAGAGGACAGACAGGCATGAAATAGTTTTGCTCTTTCCTTAGCAACAATTTGAACAGCAGGCACTCTTGGGGCTCACATCCACTCTCCTGGAGCCCTATGCGGCACCACAGCTTAGGGACGTCTCTCTGCTTTGGGTGCTGCCCAAGCTGGTATCACTGCAATGACCATTACCTCAGCCCACACAGTCTCTCAAGGTCCTGCCGAAGTACTGTTTCCAAACCGCTTTGGATTTCAGGGGTCTGTGGTAAGTCTGGAGGTCTAGGGCCTTGGGGCACTCTGGGGGCTACTGCATCGGAGGTTGGAAGCGTGTCCAGGAAGCAGGGTATAAGTCCCTACTGTTCTGGGCACTTGGACCTCTCCCTTTCAGGCCTTTGGAATTATTTTTAGACGGAGGGAAATACATCACTGTATTCCCCTGAGGTTTAGACGAAAGTCACAAATGGTAAACCCACAGACTGGACCGAGCCAGTAAAGGGGTTTGGCACCCACACATAGTCTCTTTAAAAGTGTTTAAGTTGGTTGCCATGTAGAAACAGATAGAAGTTTTGCATTTTAAAAATGCAGAGTTTGAAGTTTCCATGAGAATTGAGAAGTTCTGCCAACACTCAGTCCTCATTCCCGTATAAAACAAAAGTTAGCTGAGTGTAAGCTGGCTTCTCTAGAGGGGCAGGTGCTCTACTGGTTGCTGCAGTCCGCACTGCCCTCTCTCACCTTGACACAGCACACGTTTCAACGTATATTCCTTTTTTCATTTAATGTTGTCAGCTCTTGTATTGGGCTTTGAGGACCCTACTAGAAACCTCTAGAGGGAGAAAGCGCAGAACTCATTGGAAAAGAGGGAGGAAAGGGGAAACTTATAAAGCAAATTGTATTTCAAAATACCCTCCTGCTCCCTTTACCCTTAAATGCCTAATTTGGTTTTTGTGCTCAATGCATGTGTTTGATTTACCTCAGTAAACCCTGCGCGCACAGTCAAGAAAGAATATCAGTTGAAGAAAAAAGATAAGGTAACACACTGGAAAATTGGAATAGATTTTTCTTTTTTTGGTACTGGGGATTGAACTTGGGTCCTTGTGCTTACAAGGCAGGCCACCAAACCACTGAGCTAAATCCCCAGCCCTGGAACAGATTTTTCTTATTATGACTTTTAAACTAGAGAGCTTAAATAAATAGTGAAGTCAGGGAGTACAATGCAGGCGGTAGAAAAGACATGCCTCGCTGCAACTCATTATTTGGACAAACTGAGATAAAGCTCATCTGGATTATTTAGAAATTAAAACTACAGAATATTTTTGAAGTATATAATTTTGCCCCACCTAATCCCCCCTTCTCCCCCGTACCAGGGATTGAACTCAGGACCTTGCACTTGTGAGGCAGGTGCGGCGCCACTGAGCTAAATCCCCAGCCCAGTTTACCCTTTTTCATTCTCCCCCCTTGGTAGTTAGTTTACAAAGTAAGAATCTTTGGGATTAGGAATAAGGAGGGCTATGCAGCATGCGTGGATTTAGACATCAGTGAATGTCTATGCTTCTCCCTTTCGATGTGCGGGTGCCATGCTGCGGTTGTGTGAAAGCCACGCGCTGATCATGAGCATCTTCCTCAAGAGTCAGTTTTACTTGGAGATACTTTGACTGTTAGGTTATTTAAACATTTTATATTAAAGTAAACATTATGGCGTAGGGTGGCAAATTTGCATCAGTTATTAAGATAAAACAAGAGCCCTTTCTACAAATGAAGAGCCATAAAGATCTTTACCCAAACACAGCTATCACAGCTAACTTAGAGCGATTTGAGAAGTGTCGAGAGCCATATCTAGACCTGGGGCGAGAAAGGGCCTTACGCATTACGCACTGGTAGAGTAGAGGCAAGTGCGCTGGGGTGGTGGAGGTTGTCTATATTGCTCATGCCCCTAGGTATCTGTTTTGTCTCTGGACAGAGCTCACTTGAGCCTGTGTGTACTTCTGGGAGGAGTGGAGGAGCAGTACAGGGCCACAGAGTCCTGGGCCAATGCAGAAGTGGGTCATGTAGCAGTGATGGCGCCAAGGATGAGCTTCAGGGACTTTTGACACCCTCTCTCCCCCAATTTCTAACGAACAGTTACATGCCAAGATGATCCAAATAAACACTCCTATAAAAGAATGATTTTCTCCAAAAGTGCAGCTTTAAGACAGAAGTCCCTCAGTCTATCCGAGATAGCAAACCAGATAGCAACCCCAAGACTTTCTAAAAGAATTTTTAGTTTGCCATTGTCATTTATGGCCATCAAGGTAGTTTTCAGTGCTTTGCGAGGGGAAGGACAGTAGCACTAATCAAGATCATGGGCAATAGTTTCTTTTCTTTTTTTTTTTGGTACTAGGGATCGAACTCAGGTCCTTGCACTTGCAAAGCAGGCACCAGAACCTCTGAGCTAAATCCTAGGCCCGATAGTTTCTTTAAACAAAGCAACTTAGCCCCTTTTAGGTAGCTTTCCAATGGCCATCCTCTCTTTCCTCTTAAAGGGAACATATTTCCCCAGAAAGAAACCTAATTGAGAGTCAAATAACTGAGCTTCTCATTTTTCACTAACATTCCCAGGCTCTGTTGTTATCCTTATCATCATCATCATTATTATTTGCTGCACTGGGGATAAAATCCAGGGCCTCACTCATGCTAGGCAAGTGCTTTCACACTGAGTTACTTTCCAGTTCCAGAGGCTCCATTATTTAAAAAAAAAATCCTCTTTTGTCCAATTTACGAAAAAAAATGTAGTTACTTTGCAATCAGCCTCAAAGTTAACTGGAATTTAACTTTGATAGCATTTCTCTTTTACTTAAGCACCGCTTTGATAGACTAACTGAATTGATATACTATCTCTCTTTCTCTCTCTCTTTATTTATTTATTTTTTTGAGACAGGGTCTCACTATGTAGTTGAGACTGACCTGGAATTCACTATGTAGTCCAGGCTGGTCTCGAACTCACAGCGATCCTCCTGCCTCAGCCTCCTGAGTGCTGGGATTACAGGCGTGCACCATCACGCCCGGCTGATACAATATCTCTTTACATTATTATAGAGATACACATGTAATTTATTATAATGTATCACTTCAAGCCTTTAATATATAAGACCTCTTAAGGGGGAGTGTCTCAGATTATAAAATAGAACTGCTCAGTATATTTTCTGGTTCTTTTTAATAGGTAAAAAGCTTTTCCTAAAATGCTCACATTCTAACACTGTTCTTTTGACCTTCTTTTATAGCACAAAACTGGACGTCATTTCAGAAAACCACGTTAATGATACAAATACGATGTGTGGGTCAGGTTAAAGACTAAGCTAACGTCCTGGCGTGAATGCTGAGGGATTACCTGGCGAGGAGTTTATTATTGAAATAGTTTACTGCTGCATTTATTTTATAAGCAATTGATGGACTGGTGTAAAAACTCTGATTTTAAATATGTGCAGTATAGTTGAGATGTTCAAAAATTTCAGGATAAGATGCTCTAAAAGTTCTAGGCTACCAGATGAAAACCTGCCTTTACCCAAGAGCCAGTTATAATAAGTTACATTGTTAATGTACTACTGTAGCAGAAGATCTGTCATTTTTGTGAAGTTGCTATACTTAGTGCCGCCCTGATAATTTCCAGAGTACAGTTATTCTTCCCTCCAAAGTTCAGTAAACGTTGAAAAGTGTAACTATGTTCTACAATCTTGGCTACTAAAAGCAAAGTTTGGGAGGAATGAACATTCTCGGTTTGCACAGTATTATTTAATGTCGCTTTCCAATTTATTTTTAAAAGCAAAATAAAATTGAATGTTATGGTTGATATTAATTTTTAGAGTATATTATTCATTTTTAATCCCCACAAGACCTTGAAAACATACATGATACTTTAGAGAAAATCACAATAGTGGGTAAAAATAGAAGGAGATACAAGAGGAACAATCAAGCTCTCAAAGCATTTAGAAACCTTCTCCGTCATGCAAATGAATGGAAACTAAACAATGGGTTACAGAAGAAATCAAGGAAGAAATAAGACATTTTCTAGAACTAAATGATAATGCCAGTACAATATGCAAGAATATATGGACACAGTGAAAGCAGTTCTAAGAGGAAAGTTTATAGCTGTGAACGCACACATAGAAAAAACAGAGTGAGCTCAAATAAAAAAATCTAACAATGCACCTCAAGGTTCTAGAAAAATAAGAACAGTCCAGACCCAAAGCAAGTACAAGGAAGGAAATTATAAAGATCAGGGCAGAAATCAATAAAATTGAGACCAACAAAACAAAATAAAACAACCCAAAGAATTAATGAATCTAACAGTTGGTTCTTCAAAAGAATAAACAATATAGACAAATGCTTAGCCGATCTAATCCCCACCCATAAAAAGGAGAGACAAAAACCCCCAAATCATTGTAATTAGAAATGAAAAAGGTGAGTGGGGGATTTGGCTCAGTGGTGCTGCCAGCAAGGTCCCAAGTTCAATCCCCAGTACCGGGGGCGAAAAATGTGAAGTCACAATGGATACTGAGGAAATGAAAAACATTATTAACAACTGCTTTGTAATACTTTATGCCAATACATTGGAGAATTTGGAAGAAATGGATCCTAGATACATATGAATTACCAATAAATTACCAAGAATGAATGAAGAAGTTTTAAAAAACCTGAATGGGGCCAGGGATGTAGCTCAGCAGCACAGCGCCTGCCTGGCAAGTGCGAGGCCCTGGGTGCGATTGAAATTAGAGTGGTAATAAATAACCTACCAACTAAAAAAGCCCTGGTTCAGATGGGTTCACTGCTGAATTCTACAAAAACTTGAGGGAAGTTCTAACACTAATACTTCTCAGACTTTTTAATGAAATCAAAAGGGAATGAGTACTCCCAAAGTCATTCCTGGAAGCTACCATTACCCTGATTCCAAAACAAAGTGTCCAACCAAAAAAGAGAACTACAGATCAGTCTCTTTACTGAATAAGATGCAAAAATTCTCACCATGATACTGACAAACAGAATGTAATGAATCATTAAAAAGATCACACATGATGATCAAGCAGGCTTCATCCAGGGATACAAAAAAAAGTTCAACATATACAAATCAAAACATGTAATATATCACATAAATAGAAGCAAGGATGAAAATCACATGATCATCTCAACAGATGCAGAAAAGGCCCTTGACAAAATCCAACATTATTTTATGACAAAAACACTGAAGAAAATAGGTATAGAAGGGCTTTATTTCAATCTAATAAAAACCATTACTACCAACATCACATTAAATGAGGAAAAAACTGCATGCTTTGCCTCTACAATCAGTAATAAGACAAAGATATCCTCTATCATCACTCCTGTTCAACAAAGTAAGAGCAATTAGGCAAGAAAAAGAAATAAAAGGAATATGTATAGGAAAGGAAGAAGTCAATTATCATTATTTGCAGGTGACATGATCGTCTACATAAAAAGTCCCCCCAAATCCACCAGAGACCCTTAGGATTAATGATCAAATTCAGTAATGTAGGAGGATAAAAAATCAACATACAGAAATCAAGTGTTCCTATACACTAACAAAATGAACCCACTGAGAAAGAAATTAGGGGGAAAATACCATTCACAATAGCACCAAGAAAAATTAAATACTTAGGGAATTAATTTAACTTAAGAAAGAGAAAACCTCTATAATGAAAACCATGGTGCTCTGAAATAGGAAATTGAAGAAAATATTAAAAAATGGAGCAATATTCCCTGTTCCTGGATAGGCAGAACCAATATAGTTGAAATGGCCATACTGTATTTCCAAAATTGATATACAGATATAATGCAATACCAATCAAAATTCCAACAGTGTTCTTTACAGAACTGGAGAAAGCAATCTTAAAATTCACATGGAACCAGCACAACAAAAGCAATCCTGAGTAAAAAGAGCAAAACAGGAGGTACAAACAAGCCTGGACTTGAAGTCATATTGCAAAGCTACTGTAATAAAAACAGCACGGTGTAGCCAAAGACTTCATGAACAAAACCCAGACTACACAGGGAATACTACAAAGAATCAACAACTAGAACCTGACCTTACTAAAAAGCTCTTACACAGCAAGAGAAACCACCAATAGAGTGAAGAGACAACCCACAGAGTGGGAAAAAAATTTTATTTTTTTACCAACTATTCATCAGATAAAGGACTATTATGTAGAATATATAAAGAACTAAAAAAAAATCATTTCCACCAAATTTAAAGATCCAATCAAAAAATGGGTATCTGAAATGAAAAGACGCTTCTCAGATGAAGAATTAGAAACAGTAAATAAATATATGAAAAAATGGTCAACATCACTCGTCCTTCATGAAATGCAAATTAAAGCAATGCTGAGATTCCATCTCACTCCAGAAAGAATGACTACTACCAAGAAATCAAGCAATAACAAATGCTGGTGGGGCTGTGGGGAAAAAAGAACCCTTCTCCACTGCTGATGGGAGTGTAGACTGGTGCAACCACTGTGGAAATCAGTGTGGCGATTTCTCAAAAAATAAAACTGGAGGTTCCATAACCCAGCTATACATCTTCTGGGTATCTTCCCGAAATAATTAAAAGCATCATACCACAGCAATATATTCACAAACGTATTTATAGCAGCACAGTTTTTAACAGCCAAGTCTTGGAAACAACCCAAATCACCATCAAATGATGAATGCAGATTTTTTTTATGCACTGCAGTACTACTCTGCCATAAAGAAGGATGGGCTTGAGACATTTACGACCTTAAGATCATACTTCTAAGTGAAATAAATTGGACACACATGCTAAAATACTGTATTATTTCTCTGGGTGAGAAACCAAAAGTGGAAATAAGGACTGAAATATATAATGGATGTTGAGAAATGGGAACAAAGTATTCAAATAGAAAGGGAACAAGGGAGGAAGGAAGGAAAAAGGAAGGAAGGGACAAGAAGTGAAAATGGAAAAAATGGAAACAGCTTTTTCACATAGGTAGGGGAAGGGGTTTGAGGGGGCAATGGGATAAAATAAAATAAATTTATAAACAAACCAGCATGTTACTGGCACAAAAACAGATACGAGGATCACTGGAACAGAATAGACGATGAAGAAACAACTCCAAGTACATTCAACTGTTTGATTTTTAACAGAGGGGCCAAAAACACAGTAGGGGAAGATAAAGCCGCTTTAATACATGGTGTTGGAAAAAAATGGCTATCCATATGCAGAAGATGGAATCTAGATCCATATCTTTCATTATGTATGAAACTAAAACCAAAATGGATCAAAAAATTAAATTTTAAACCAGAAACAAACTGCTGGAAGACAAGATAGGTAAAACTCTTGAAGCCATAAACATAACAGAACCCCAATTGCCCAGGAAATAGTTCTGAGAATCAACAAATAGGATCATACCAAAAGCTTTTGCACAGCAGAAGAAATGACCAACAAAATGAAATGATAACCTACAGAACGGGAAAATTTTTTTTTCCAGATATTCCTCAGACAGAGGACTCATATCAAGAATATATAGAGAACTCAAATTAGACCCCCCAAATAAAAGAGCCAATAAAAAATGGTTAAGCAAAATAAGTAGACACTTCACAAAAGTACAGATGGCCAGTAACTACATGAAGAAACACTCAACATCGCTGGACATTAGAGAAACACTGAGATTCCACCTTACCCCAGAAAGAATGGCCATCATAAAGAAATCAAGTAATAACTAATTCGGGCGAGGTGCAAGGGAGAAAGGAACCCTTCTACATTGTTGGTGGGAATGTAAATTAGTAAAATCACATGGAACTCAGTAGAGAGATTCCTCAAAAAACTAAAACTAGAAATTCTGTTTGACCCAGCTATTCCCCCCTCTAGGTTTCTTCCTGAAAGAGTTAATGACATCATATTACAGAGACACATGCATACTCATGTTTATAGCAGCGCACTTCAAAATAACTAATTCTTGAAAGCAGCCATTTGCAGATGAATGGATAATATAAACGTGGCATTTACACACCATGGAGAACTATTCTGCCATAAATAAAGATAAACTTGCATCATTTGTAGGAAAATAGTCAGTGGGGTCCCTTCCTGACCCAATAGGAAAATCCTCATAAGGAGAAACTCCCTCCCCTGCTCCTTGAGACCATAATGTTACGTGAAATTGATCAGCTACACAAGCTTAACTATCACATGGTCTCTGATATGAGAAACCCAGAGCAAAAATAAAGAGCAAAATAAAAGACAGATAATAGGAAGAAGGGAAATAGATTTTTCTCTAGGGGAAGGGCATCAAGAGACGGAAGGAGGGGTGAGGAGGGACGGGATAAGGGTTGAATAAAAAGAATTGGGATGTGTTATGTGTGCGTACCAACTCCACACAAGGAATGTGAACATACTGAAAACATGTACACAAGGATTGGGGGACAATGGCTGGGTTGAGGAGGGAGGGAAGGAAGAGAGGATGAAAAGGGATTAAGATGTGTTATGAACATGCACCGAGTTCTCACAAGGAATGTAAAAATGTACTGCAAATGGGCACTAATAAACTAAGAAAAAACAACCCTTCTCTGGGCAGTGTCTTTAAGCAGTTTTCAGTGTTTGTGGGTCAGGAAATACCTCATGTGGCGTATATTAGTTACATGCTGTAATAAGCCATGTAGAAATAGCCAGACAGTACTCATATGCTTGGGACAGCATTATAGGGTGGGCTCCTTCCAGCCTCCTCCTCCATCCTTGGACTTTTGTCCCCATAGCAAGCACTCTGTTGGCTTTTCAGGAGCAGGGGAGGGAGTTTCTCCTTATGAGGATTTTCCTATTGGGTCAGGAAGGGACCCCACTGACTAGGCCAGGAAATGTCACAACGGTCCTAAGACTCATCTTGAAAAGAACTGGCATCTTACCTTGCTACCGTTAGAACAATCTGGGTGTTCTTCACCAGGCCTGAGAGGGGTGTGGACATTGGTGAGCAACTTGTGTTCACTGACTGACTCAGTATCAGTCCCCTGGGTAGTTAAAGATGGACTTAGTGCTACTTGTGCTACCCAACTCTGGGGATGTGCCCCTGGGTTTTTGGATTTTAACAAGCTCCTTGGGCGAATCAGTGCATACAGAAGCTTGAGGTCTACAAGTGTAGATGTATAGATGCAGTGGAACTATAATACTTCATTATATGTATGTCAATTAGTATGTGTTGGGCTGCAAGTACCAGAAAACCCAACTCCAAAAGGCTTAAGCACTAAGGAAGTTTATTATGAGGTAGAACAGGTTTGCCGTTGATGAACTCAGTGAAAAGGACAAAAACCAGATTTTTTTCTTTCTACTCTACCATTTATCTTCTCAACTTCATTCTGGGAGTGGTTCCCCTATGCCAAGACTGTTAAGATTGCCACTAAGAGCAATTAGCACTTCGTTTCCTTGTTGAATCCCAGGAGGGGACAAAAACAAAAGGCAAAGCTTTAAATTACTCCTCAGAAAAAGAATTCTTCTAGATAACTCCAGTAATCTTTTATTTGTCTCATGGGCACGAAGTAAATCACATGCTTATTTGCGAACCAGTCAGTGACAAGAGGGTGGCAGCCACCTTTTAATCAGGTAATACACTTTTCAATACAGAACCAAAGTTGGATTCCCTCTATTTGCATGGCTTCAAAGAGGAGGGCCAATGGACACTGAAGTAAATACAAATCACTGCCATTGCACCGCATCTGGGAATCGGCATTGTGACTTGGGCCTTTAGCCAAGGCCATTCTTGCTCTTATCCACTTGCTGAACTTTTCTCTGAACATCTCTAGCCTTGGCATGGAGGTTGGAGGCAAGATCACAATTTTAACCAGACTTGAAGCCTCAAGTTACTTTGTGTATCTTTAAAGACTGTTTTAGACAAGGCATTTTCTTATTCTTGAGAAGTCATGTGAAATGCCCCTCAAATTCCTTGCTTCCCCTTACAGCCATGATGGTTATATGTTAATCACAATGAGTAAATCACTGGATGCACAGTCACACTCATTTTATGAAAAGTGAGGGCAACAGTTCTCAAAGGAACTTCTTCTGCCCAACCATGTATTTAAGAATGTATTTAGGATCACATCTACCTTGAAAATAAATTCATTATGGAATTCATTATGGGGCAAAGTTTACAATGTTCGGGAAAAAGTTGATGAATCTGATTTTCAATTTGCTAATTTAATGGGAATGTTCCATCTGTGAATACGTGTAAGTCTCAGCTTTAAGTAACACTGGAGACTGAAGCTTTGAATGATTGACAAAAATTGAAGTTAAACTCTTCACAAGACAAAAACTAGAGGACAAATGCCAAAGGGAAGGGAGTTAGGAACCTAACTGCTAGGGAAACGACAGGAGACAGAGTGAGGGAATGGTCAGAAGATGCATGGGGACAGACAACAGTTCTTGAGAAGCAAAACATATTGAGCTGGGAAATAGTGATAGCGGGTGGCTATCAATCTTTCAGACCAGTACTCCCCAGAATACTATGTAACATGGGATGTTCACCCTCCTTTTCAATCTTCTGAGCGTCACCAAATTTTACATGTACAGAAATCAAGGAAACTAAAGGCTTAATGAGTTGTTATGCACATAAAGTTCATGTTTTACTTTATTGTATTCACTAAAAATATGGTCCTCTCTACAAGCCAGGGAGCAGGCCCTCCCCAGACAAGGGATCTACCATTAGTTTGGACTTCTCAGCCTGTGGAACTAACTAATAAATGTTTATTGTTTAAGCCACTTGGTCCATGGTTCTTTGTTGTACGCGACTACAGACTGAGACTCATGAGTGGGAGACCTCTTTGTGAAGCCAAAACTTATTAACAAAGTATAATAAAAGTCGAGAGACTGAGTTCAGAACAGCGAGAAGTACAGATATATCCTTATCCTCAAAGCTTGTATCTTTAAGTCCAGCTACCTCATTAAGGCATTAGGTTTGTGATTTTCAAACCAGAAATCAGTCGTGGGATTCTACGAGCCAAGCAAATAACATGAAGGAACAAAGTGAGAAGTGGGCCAAGATATGTGTAGAAATCATTGTGTTCTTTAGCTTCTCCTCCATTTTATTATATGACATCTTATATATCTGTCTTTGGAGAAATTGCTCATGCAGTCCTAGTAAGAAGGAAGCCACTGCCCTTCAGAGCATGAGTTTAAATTAGTATTTTATAATGTGACAAGAGAGTTCTCTGATTCAGTTTCAACAAAGGATTTTATTTACTGATTCCCAAAAGCAAAATCCAGAAAATCGCAACCCACTGCAAGAATAGTTCTAGAACATTCTCGGTCCTCTTTTCATGGGGTGTGCCCTCCCATGCCCTTATCTTCACAGAGCAGCCTGACACATGGCAATACTTGGTGGAAGGCACATGGTACCTATCCTCACGCCTTCAGGTGCATCTCCCTGGCAGGAAAGGAAGTCTTTTCTGCAGCCTTCGCCCTTTCACAGAAATTTATCACAAAATTTTTGTATAGCAAAATATAAGCCCCCCCAACTTTAGTTATCTACTACAAAGATATAGAATTGAAAAGTTCTCTTCTCCAGCTTTCATCAAAAGACTGAATGTTAAAGAATATCTGAATTACTCTGAGCTCCTGGGCTGCATACTTAGGTATTTACAGAGGAAGGTGAATTTCAAGTTCTGTTGCTCTCCAAAATAGGAACTGAAGAGAAGATGTGAGTAAGACAGCTACAAAAATCGAGTCATTCCATGCTGGAGCAAGGCAAGCTTCCTCAACCATCAATAAATACTATTTTGTTCATCATAAACCCTGCAGAGATCCAACAAAATTTGAGTTTCAAATACAGAATAAATTTAAAAGAGAGCTAGCCAGCAGCAGCGTGATGAGATGAATGAACAGGACAGTGCTGGTGAAGGCACAGAGTAAAGAATCCCAAGAAAATTTTAGTGCCACTTCCATTTAATAAGCCAGTAGTATAGTAACCTAAAGACCTTGGCTGTTTTCACACCAGGATGTTCTTACTGAACTGCTGCGGGAAAACATGATTGGCAGCTGGCATCCTTGGGCTCACTATGCTGAGCGAGTCTCAGATCTAAGGCTGGGGAGTGTAGCGGAGGTATTTCTTGCCAGATGGGAGTTCTTTGGTGAAGACTCCTTTAGGGAAAAGTTTTTTGGCTTCCTCTTCAGGGATGGTTGGAAGGACCATCACACTATCTCCATCCTATTGAAAGACAATGAAAACTGAAATTCAATCTTACAGTCATGCTAAAAGGTATTCCAAGAATTAACTTTGGAATAGTACAGGTGCTAATGAGAATAATTAAGTATATTTCTATTCTCTTGCCACTGAGGAATTTTGTTTTCACTTTTCACAAGTCCATCTTTGACAATCTGAGGACAGTAATTCCCCACCTCAACGAGAGAGAGTCCTGTTTTAAAACCAGCAGTGGCTTGGTACCACACTTCAAAGTTAATCTGAAGTCTGACCATGGACTATAGGCTCTGCGGACTGAATCTGGCTTCCTCTCATCTCTAGTTCTTCAACTCACCTCCTCCAGGTACACCGGCTTCCTTCTAGTCCTCACTGCAGGTGAAGCTTCTGCTTCTGGTGCTCATCCCTCACTACTGTGCATGGCTTGGTTACACACTTCCTGTCCTTTCCAAAGGTCCCCTCCCAAAGGCATTCCTTGAAAGTCAAATATAAAACCAATACTCCCATCCAACGTGACTATATTCTGCAGCACCTTCGTCACTGTTCAGTAGCCTACAGACTTGTATATTGTTTTTGTTTACCCACTGGAATGTAAGTACGAGGGCAAGAACTTCTTACTGTTCACCACTAGCTCCCCAGGGTGCACTGCTTGGGCTCAGGAAGTTCGTGTTCCTTTAACGGATACAGAATTTAAATGATCTGCCTGTCAGAAAAACCAACCAAACAACCTACGACTCCTGGTATTCAGTTAAAAATAAGTGTATTTTAAAGAATGTAGCAACATTGGGATATTCTTTGGGATATTGTCTTATGTTCCACACATTTAAAAAGATTTTAAGAGATTGTAAGTTAATGAATGAATTTTAGAGACTTTTACATGTTTAAAAGAATGAAGCTTAAGCGAAATATAATGCTTCATAATATTAACACACCAATAATTTTATATCCATGACTTAACAAAAATAGGCAATCACGGTTTTGCTATAAATATTTTCCCATCAGGTAATGGTTTGTTTCCCATCAGGTAATGGGATATAGCTCAGTGGCCCTGTAAGCATCAGGTTCTGAAGTTCAATTCCTGGTGCCAGAAAAAAAAAAGTGTTTAAAAAACACTTTTAGGACCGGGGATTTAGCTCAGTGGTTCTGCTGCCTGCCTCAAAAGTGCAAGGACTAGAGTTCAACCCCCAATACCCCCCAAAAAAATCTTTTATAGGTTGAGTATCCCTTAATTTGAAATGCTTAGGAACAGAAATATTTCAGATTCTGGAATACCTGTATAGACTTCACTAATTTAGTTTCCCCGCTCCCAAATGTGATTCTGAAATGCCATGATACCCTCAAGAATTTCAAGACTTCAGAGCATTTTGGACTTTAGGATTAGGAATGTTCAACTTACACGGGGTAAAAATAATCATTCTGACCAATTTGTCAAAATTCTCTACAGGTCAGGAAGCAGCACGGAGAAGCTGTGTTTTATAAGTTGTGAAAGACCTCTTAGCAAATCTTAAACTTAGCTGCGAGGAAAAATCCTCCCTACTTGGCTGCCACAAACTTAGTTCCAGGTAACACTGACCCTGGAGGTAACCACTTATACACTGGTACTTTAGGCCTGCCAGGCAGGTTGAGTACCTGTCCTTTTAATCCTTACCTTCCAATCAACAGGGGTGGCAACCCTCTTTTCCGCTGTCAGCTGGAGAGAGATAACTACTCTGAGAATCTCATCAAAGTTTCTGCCAGTGGTAGCTGGATAGAGGATGGACAGTTTCAGTTTCTTGTCAGGACCAAACACAAATACCTGTGAGCACATCAAGAGGCATAATTACAAGAGTTCCTTCCAGGGCTTTTGAAATTACAACTACTCAGAAAATACCACAGTCATTAAAAACATGCAAAGCTATAAAAATAAAAGCAGGAACAAATCACACATAAAGGTATAATTTTCTTCCTCATTACTTCAATACTTAGAAGGAAATTTTCATACTTGGCCCTGGCTGTCTCAGTAAGGAAAATGGATATGCAAATTTAACCTGGGAAAGACACCACAAAGGTACAGTACTATTTCAAATAGGGGTGGTTCTCATAAAAATAACAGTAATTGGAGTTGATGCTGGGCCTCAATGAACTATATTCATGCAGATGAGGGAGTGAGTTTTTTTTTTTACTGGGTAGAGGACAGAACAAATAAGAATGAGAAAAACAGTTGACCGATGAAGGATATGGCGCACCACTTTAAAGACAGATTTCTCAGGAGAGCTACAGAAAAGGTTTATTAATTCTACATCGCATCTTAGGACAAGTGACTTATTATTCTGCAGGTTTCTGAGAGCAGTGAATTAACTAGTTTGAAAATTTAGCCGAATATTTCTGCCACTTTGCATCAGCATTACTGATAACAATAATGTCATCAGTACAGTTATTCAGTAATGTTCCTTGATTTCCTCTAGTCAGGTCAAGTAATTACATAACACTTGATCAGCCCTGCTCACTGCAAAGTGGACTGCTAGGACTCACCACACGAGCTGTCACAGGCATGCCCTTTTCATCCTTCTCTGCTGGGTCCAGCATGCCCAAGAGGATGGCAAGGTCCCGATTCTTATCATCAATGATGGGAAAAGGTAACTTTTCTGTGGGTTCATTACCATTGTAAGCATTGATATCCTGAAAGGCCGGAAAATGGAGAAAGAATTATAAACCTGACGTGTTCTCTGAATTTCATCAGTCAATAGGCATCACCTTGCAAGACAGGGAAGAAAATTATAATCATAGTAATTTCTCTGAGCTATTTTCATAAAAAAATGAAGTCGGGTACGGTGGTACATGCCTGTAATCCCAGTACTTGGGAGGCTGAGGCAGGGGAATTCCCATGAGTTCAAGGCCAGCTTGGGCTACACAGAGGGTTCAATACCAGCCTGAAGTACATAGTGAGATGGTGTCTTAAAAATCAAACAATAAACAAACAAACAAAGAAGAAGGAACAATTCTCTCAATTATTTAATGGCAAGAAAAACAGAATTCAGTATTCACAGACCAAAAACCCTTTCACATCCAATTTTCTTAAATTCAACATGCATTTACTGCTTTGAGAAAGCATCAGTAAACTCTTTAAAAGTGACTAATACAGATTATGACTCCAATACAAGGTAAGTCTGGATACTCAAATTCTATTAAAAACATCAGAAACAATGGGTTTATTAGGTTTAGACCTCTAGAAATAATGCCATAGGTAAAGAAAATTCTGTGGATTTGGGCCTTGCCTCAACAAGACTTTGATTTAGAGCCTAGGTCAGAAGACAGACACTGAGAAATGAGGGGGGTTTGTGTTATGGGGGAGGTCTCAAAACCTAAAGGAAATACAAGAATGGAGAGGTGAATGTATATGTTCAGGACAAGTAAAAGTAAATGGGTGAAAAGAATTTCAACTCTAAACTAAAAAAATATGATGTCTTTTCCTTCTCCCCTAATAAAACTTTTATTCATTCATTTATCGCAACTTTTTTTTTAAACCTAGAGGGGTTTTTTTGGGAAAAAAAAAATCTAGTTTCATTATTTGATCAAGCATTGACATCATTCTTATGGAAGGGATTCTGTGGAGAACAACATTAATGAAACATGTAGGCAAGATAGTCCATAAACTACTATATAGGAGAGAGGAACTTCGGGCAGTAGTCAGAAAGTAATGAGAAAAGGATTTAAAACTGGATTTCAGAAAAGGTTTATTTTTCATGTAGAACAGTAAAAGTAAAAGAAGGGATTAATGGTGTATTAGACACAAACCTTCTTGCACTTCTCAACAGAGATAAAAAGTGACATTAACAAACTTGAAGTTTCCTACATAATTAGAGGTTAAGGCCAAGTCACAAAGATACACATGGGGAGTAGGTTTTCCAAACATAAGCCTGGATATACTTTGCAGAATCAAGAAGTTTGTGGATGAATTAGACGTGGTATGAAAGAAAAAAGGAATTAAGAATGGCTTCCGAGTCGGGTGTGGTAGCACATGCCTGTAATCCTAGCATTTGGGAGGCTGAGGCGGGAGGATCACTGTGAGTTCAAGACCAGCCTGGGCTACATAGTGAGTTCCAGGGCAGTCTCAACTACATAGTGAGACCCTGTCTCAAAAAAAACAAAAAACAAAAAACAAACAAACAAAAAACAAAAAAAGAATGGCTTCATCCTGAGCACCTATAAAAAATGTAGTTATCATTAGCTAAGATGAGCAAGAAGCTGGGAGAGAGAGTAGGGCCAAAATTTAGGTAAACTATATTTGAGAAGATTGGATATCCCAGAGCAGATCCTTCATAAGCGGTAGTTTTACCAACCTGGAGGCCAGTATCTGGCCCAAAGATGGAAATCTCAGCATAGAGATGTTACTCAAAGATACGAGGGAATGAACTTAGCAAGAACAGAGATGGAATAGTGGTCCAAAAGCTAGTTCAAGGCAATTTCAGCATAAATTAGGAGTTGAGAGATGACGATCAAAAACAAGGTTAAGCGTGAGCATCAATGAGGCATCCAGGAAGCCAGCAGTAGAACTTATTTCAGGACACAGAGCGATCAGCTGGGCTGAACACTGAGGTAGGTCAAGAAAGATGGTGGTTGAGAACTGATCACTAAGGTTACTATGAAGTCCAGGCCAGATTTTCAAGTAACTAGTTAACTGTGAATCTGAGGTTTCCTTGTACTTTTATCTAAGAAAACAATAACATGTCTTTCCTTGAGTTCTGTAATTTTTATATACCTCAGGCTCAAAGCCCATACCAATCAATACTTCTGATGACACAGAGGAAAAAAAAAGCAAACACATGACTTATGTGACCTCTGGTCACCAAGAAGTGGCTGGGATTTTCTCCCCAACAACCAGTCATTTCTTCACTGGACACCTGCTGGGTGCCCTCTTAGCTCAGTTTGGGCCTCTATAGCTGGATATAGTGTCAGATACCACAGCTCGAGTCCCGCAAGATTGTCTCCACACTTCCAATGCCAACTGCAAGCTCTAGGTTGCTCTACTTGTGCTTCTGATTGATGGGCTATAAACTGGAGTTCCATGACCTGCTCCTTGGTGTGGCTTATTTACCAGAGTCGCCCACAGAACTCAAGGAAAGATGTTTATAAAGTCATAGATGAAAAGACGCATAGGGTGAGACTTGGAACTTCCGTCTCTCGCCTGGCATACCACCCTCCAGCAATGTCCACGTGTTAAATTACCCAGAAGCTCCTGGAATCCATTGCTTTTGGGTTCTCATGCAAGCTTTGGTGATCAGCTGAACCTTAAGCCCTTCTTTCCTCCCCAGAGACTAGGGAGTGGGTGGAAGAGTCCCAACCCTTTAATCTTGCCTTGTTCCTTCAAAGATCAGCCTGGGCTGTGAGGTTACCCAAGGCATGGCATGCCAGCTGTCAGTCAACTAATTGGCATACAAAAAGAAAAAATAAAGTTTTTGTAAATAGGGAAGGGAGGAGGGGATGAAGGGAGGGCAGGGGTATGGGGAAAAAATGAGAACCAAGACCTGTTATGTAAAGATACAAGATCCCAATGATGAATGTAACTGTACTGTATACCTAAAATGTACCAATAAAC